GGTGAGGAGGGAGCGGTACATGACGATGCAACTGGGTGAAATGAGATATTATGTGATTCTTTGCCTTCAAATACAAACTAAACTACAAGGATCCTAATATATACTGGAGTGCAGGAGACCGTCATCCTCCCAAATTCTGTATTTTTTACCGCCAAAACCCCAAATTTACAATTTTTAGCACGAAAGTACCATGCTGAGTGTAATCCGTACCCTCCTCCCCCCCAAATTTCCATCCTAATAAACCGTTGTATCCAGTACGTCTTCAACACTTTGGCATTCAAGGTCAACCTGGATGCTGCAGTCGGCTTATCACCAAGATCCTTTGTCCCCTAATTGTTAACACCAAAAATTCAGATTAAGCTGTCCGATGCGAAAGATGAAACAGTCGAGGTGAGGTAACAGTTGAAATGTTTATTGTCCTTAACAGCATTTGAACAATAACAACATTAAATGCGCAACAAAATCCAGCTCCCTAACACTTAAAAAAAGCATAATAATGCCTGAACAAAACTGACATGGGAATAAAACAAAATAAAAAAGAGAAATTGAAAAATTTTGTGGCTTCTAGCAAAAAATCAAGAAAAATTAAGATAAGGAAAAATTGGAAATTTTTGTAGAAATGTGAAAAGTGACAAGGAAGACGAATATCAGAAACATAGCAATAGGCCGATAATCAGGTGATATAGTTTCGATTATGACATTGTGTGAAGCCAGTTAAATGACAGAGTAAAATAGGAACCTCAAAAATGAGGGAAACGACTCTTTTTGCCTTAAATGTGGACGAGGTGTGTTAGAATATTTTAAGCAGCAACGATAGAAGAGATGCAGTATTGGTCAGTAACGGTAATGATCGGGTTTGTACGGTCCACTGACCGGTATTCCCAGGTATTCGGCTTGATCCTCAGATAATGTAGTCAACTTAACACCAAGCTTATCGAGATGAAGTCGCGCAACTTCCTCGTCCAGGATTTTCGGTAAAACATGAACACCAATGCTGTACTGCTGCGCAGTGCCGTGTTTCGTGAACAGTTCAATCTGAGCCAACACCTGAAATCCCTTGAAATGGATTTGGAAAAAAAGGAACAGGAACCGCAGCGAGAATTTTATACAAGGCTTCTCAAAGACATTTCACGAGGAGGGAAGCGTTTTGTCTTTAGGGAAAAAACCCATCCTTGGAAAAAGCACAATTTGTCTCTAGAGGGAAATTTCTTATAGTTACACCCAAAAACATAAAATATCACCAAGATTTGTCTCATTCACTACTCATTCATCACTCGATCTTCCTCGTTCACTACTACGAAGCAAAAGGAGAATTTTTACGTAGTTCCAGCACAGCTAGAAACAGAAGAGATATTATGGAAAAGTACTTAAACATCATCTTTCCAGAGATCCGCGGTATTTACCCTCGTCCCTTTTCTCACCTCCCTTTCCCGCCCTACTATTCTGTAAGAACAGGAAGTGGCATAAGCAGAAAAGGCTTACTTGATTAGTGAAGGAATTGCTCATAACAAACGACGGATGCCCGGTCGCACAGCCCAAATTACACAGACGCCCTTCGGCTAACAAAATAACATGTCGTCCATTTTTCAACAAATATCTATCGACCTGTAAAAACGCTAATTAAAGTATTAGTAATCAAATTTACAAAAGTAAAGAATATACACGTAAGTGCGTGTGTATACATACGTGTGCAAATATCAGGGAATATCAAGGTCAGCAAGACAATCAGTCCCATGCCAGTGATATTATTAGCATTCCCCCACACGTCCACCCAGTTCCGCTATGCTCTTCGACCCTAAACTATGCCGCCCGAACAGCTGCTGTTTATTCTTTTTACATATTCATATACAAACACACATCCATCCACACACCTCCACCCACCCACCCACACACACATACACATACATACACACACACACCTACACAAATTCACGATGTTTCTCATATTTCATAAGCAAGAGAGAAGCTAATACCTGTGGTTTTATGGTAACTCGACTTTTTGCATTCGTATTTAGCCATTTCACATCAATT